GGCACCCGCCACCACGCCCGGCTAATTTGTGTATTTTTAGTAGAGACGGGGTTTCACCATGTTGGCCAGGCTGGTCTTGAACTCCTGACCTCGTGATCCGCCCGCCTGGATTTCCCAAAGTGCTGGGTGACAGGCATGAGCCACGGCGCCCGACCTGGGCTAAGCCTAATTATTTATCGTGAAACTAACCGAATACTCACGGGTTTTGCTTTTCCACACGACGCGCCTCCGTCCCCAGCTGGCTGCATCAGGAGGCCACGGTCCAGCAGGTGGACGTGATCCCCGAGGACGGGGCCGCCGACGTCAGGGTCGTCATCAGCCACTCGGCCTACGGCAAATTCCGGAAGCTGTTTCCAGGATGAGCGGACGCCCGAGGAGGCCTGGGGTGCGGTGGCATTGCTGTGTCAGGACAGTGGCGTCCCCTTTGTCAGGCTCTGTGTCCCAGGCGCCTGCTTTGATGCCACGGACGCTGGTGGCATGCTCACGGCTGCTCCGAAGCAGGCCACCCCAGAGTCCACGCTACACAATTCCGCTGGGACCTCAGTGCCTGCCTGCCGTGAACTGCTTTCCCTCGGAATGTTCCAGCAGGACATGAACCTGTGCGTTTGCCTCCGTGAGCAGCATTTCCGGCCTGTCCTGCCTCTGCTGTGAGCCGTGGCCCTGGTGGACGCACGTGGCCTCTCCGCCTGTCTGTCTGTGCTCACAGAGGGGCCTCGTGGCCCACGGCCATGCTGGTGAAATGACTCAAAACCAGGCCTCCCAACAGCCCAGAGAACCCCAAAAGCAGAAGGGAAAGAAAACAATTCTATTAATAAAGACGCTTCAAACCAGACCACGACGTCTGTGTCGCAGAGAGAGAATCTCACCTGCGTGAGGCCAGGCCGTGCGGACCCACCTGCCCAACGTGGCAAAACCCCGCGTGGCCAGTCTGCACACCCGTCCCCGTCCACAGGAAAAACAAAACGCCTCGTATGTTTTCGTTCGCTTTGAGACAAGACTGTCACCCAGGCTGCAGCGCTGTGGTGAGATCTCAGCTCACTACAACCTCCGTCTCCCGGGTTCAAGCGATTCTCCTGCCTCAGCCTCCCAAGTATTTGGGATGACAGGCGCCCGCCACCACGCCAGGCTAATTTTTGTATTTTTAGTAGACATGGTGTTTTACCATGTCGGTCAGGCTGGTCTCGAACTCCTGACCTCCGGTGATCCGCCCACCTCAGCCTCCCAAAGTGCTGGGATTACAGGCATGAGCCATCGCACCCAGCCTCACAACTTCATTTTTTTTTAAACTCTATGACCTGAAAAAGATGCCCAAAGAATTAACTTTTCTTTTTGAGATGGTGTCTCGCTCCATCTCCCAGGATGCAGGGCGGTGGCGTGATCTCGGCTCACTGCGACCTCCACCTCCCGGGTTCAAGTGACTCTCCTGCCTCAGCCTCCCCAGTAGCTGGGATTGCAGGCACCTGCCACCACGCCTGGCTAATTTTTGCATTTTTAGTAGAGACGGCGTTTCACCATCGTGGCCAGGCTGGTCTTGAACTCTGGACCTCATGATCCACCCCCCTCGGCCTCCCAAAGTGCTGGGATTACAGGGATGAGCCACCGCGCCCGGCCTGAATGAACGTTTCCTAAAGATGCCTCCTGCGTCCTGTCCTGAAAACCGGATATTCCTTGGCTGCGTACGTGGTAATAAGATCCACACACACATTTGACTTTCATCTCGTTCATTTATTTAAATGATCCGTATGCATTCCGTGATTGTGCGGAAGAGCTGCCGACAGAGACCCCGGCGTTTCAGGACAGGGATTCGGAGCCGATGGGAGTCGGGGAAATCCCCTGCAACTTCACTCATCTCTGCGCGGCCTCGTCGTGGGGTGAGCTGGCCATGGGTATGGCCGACGACCGCGTCTTTGTGTGTGTTTTTATTTTTTAAAAGGAGTTTTACTCTTGCTGCCCAGGCTGGAGTCCAATGATGCGATCTCGGCTCACGGCAACCTCCGCCTCCCGGGTTCAAGCGATTCTCCTGCCTCAGCCTCCCTAGTAGCTGGGATCCCAGGCGCCCGCCACCACGCCCAGCTAATTTATGGGTGTGTTTAGTAGAGACGGGGTTTCTCCATGTTGGTCAGGCTGGTCTCAAACCGCCGACCTCAGGTGATGCGCCTGCCTCGGCCTCCCAAAGTGCTGACGTGACACGTGTGAGCCGCCACGCCTGGCCACGCGTGTCTCTTTCTAGATTTTTGGACACCATTTCTCCGTGGCGACCAGATAGCAAAAACAGAAGCAGGATTTCTTTTGGAAAACGAATCATGAGGTCCCAAAGAGAACCCATTGCAACGTGGATGAAATCACCGCCGTGAAGACCATCGTGAGAAACTCTGATGTCTGGGGTTACTGTGAAAGAGACGTCACACTTCCTCGGGAGGCGGGAATAAAAATGGCCACGGGCACCCACTGACTGCCCGAGACCTTGAGCCAGCAGCTCCGACAGGCGACAGGTAGAAGATGAGGTATGGGCCGGGGCGGAAGCTCACGCCCGTCACCCCAGCACTTTGGGAGGCTGAGGCGGGCAGGTCACTTGAGGTCAGGAGTTCGAGACCAGCCTGGCCAACATGGTGAAACCCCGTCTCTACTAAAAATTAAAAAAAATTACCCGGGCGTGGTGGCGCGTGCCTGTAATCCCAGCGACTCAGGAGGCTGAGGCAGGAGAATTGCCTGAACCCAGGAGGCGGAGGCTGCGGTGAGCCGAGATCGCGCCATTGCACTCCAGCCTGGGTAACATGAGTGAAATTCTGTCTCAAAAAAAAAAAAAAGAAAAATAAATAAATTTAAAAAAGAAACCCCATCTCTATGAAAAACAGCAAGTACTGCGGGCATGGTGGCGGGCACCTGTAATGCCAGCTGCTTGGGAGGCTGAGGCACCAGAATCGCCTGAACCCAGCAGGTGCGGGTTGCAGTGAGCCGCGATCACGCCTCTGTGCTCCAGCCTGCGCCACAGGACGAGACTCCACCTCAAACATAATCATCATCATAATTACGTGGGCATGGTGGTTTACACCTACGGTCCCAGCTACTTGGGAAACTGAGGCAGGGGGATTGCTTGAGCCCAGGGGTTGAATGTTACACAGATCTGTGACTCTGTCACTGCCTGAGCAACAGAGCCAGACCCCATCTCTACAAAAAAAAATAATTAGCTGGGCGTGGCGGCTGACACCTCAGGTCGCAGTTACATGGGAGGCTGAGTTGGGAGGATTACCTGAGCCCAGGAGTTAGAGACCAGCCTGGACACCATGTCTCTACAGAAAACAAATGGGCGTGGTGGTGCACACCTGTGGTCCTAGCTACTCTGGAAGGTAACACAGCAGGACCCCCGGAGCCCAGCAGTTGGAAACCAGACTCTGCAACATGGTGAAACCCCATCTCTACCAAAATTACAAACATCTGCTGGGTGTGGGGGTGTGCACCTGTAGTCCCAGCTACGCGGGAGGCTGACGGGAGAGGATCACTGGATCCCGGGAGGTTGAGGCCGAGTGAGCTATGACTGCATCACCGCACTCCAGCCTGGGTGACGGAGCAAAAGTCTGTCTCACACAAGGAAATACCGGCTTGGTGTGTGGGGGCTGGCCGAGGGGGGTGCTGGCTTGCACGGGGGAGCGCCCAAGGGGCTTGTTACTGTGTTTACCAATTAGTGACTTGTGGGAGGGCCGTCTCTCCCGGGGTCTGTGAGGGCAGCGGACACCACAGCAGGAAGAATGCAGAAATAAGTCCTCCCATCGCTTCGGGAGGCTGAGCAGGGAGGATTACTTGAGGCTGGGAGGTCAAGACCCCATGGAGACCAGCCTGGCCAGCACAGCAAGACACCATCGAGACCAGCCTGGCCAGCACAGCAAGATCCCATCTCTATTTCTTAACAAAAAGAAAAAGAAGGCATAGGACCGGTCCCCCGATCACCAATAGCTGACCCACACGTAAGGCACTATACTTGGGACGTCGGGGGTGAACCTGCAGCCGCCGTGTCCCAGACTTCAGAAGGGTCCCCGTCAGCACCACAGCAGCTTCTGGTTGAGAGCGATCACGTCGCTGACGAAGCTGTCCTCGCCGACGAAGTCGCCCGCGATGACGTTGGTACAGCGGGACCCCGGCCCCGGGCACTGCTCCCGGACCCACGCCCGCAGGCGGGGTAGGTTGGGCAGCGTCATCTTCTCCAGGGACTCCGACGGGTGCGCCAGGATGTACTGCAGGTTCTCAGTGAGGTTGATGCCGGCCACAAACAGCCCTCCTGGAACAGTGAGGAGGTGGAGACGTCACACAGCCACCTGCCTCCACCTGCCCGTTTACCCCTCCTGTTCACATGGCTAGAGGCTCAATTCTCAGGAATAATGGCCCCAAAGATGTCCAGGTCCTGACCCCCATGTGGGAGACAGAATAATGACCCCAAAGATGTCCACGTCCTGATCCCCATGTGGGAGACAGAATAATGACCCCAAAGATGTCCACGTCCTGATCCCCATGTGGGAGACAGAATAATGACCCCAAAGATGTCCACATCCTGATCCCCATGTGGGAGACAGAATAATGGCCCCAAAGATGTCCACGTCCTAATCCCATGTGGGAGACAGAATAATGACCCCAAAGATGTCCACGTCCTAATCCCATGTGGGAGACAGAATAATGATCCTAAAGATGTCCAGGTCCTAATCCCATGTGGGAGACAGAATAATGACCCAAAGATGTCCACGTCCTCATCCCATGTGGGAGACAGAATAATGGCCCAAAAGATGTCCAGGTCCTAATCCCATGTGGGAGACAGAATAATGACCCAAAGATGTCCATGTCCTGATCCCATGTGGGAGACAGACTTATTTCTACGCCGGGCACGGTGGCTCACGCCTGTAATCCCAGCACCTTGGGAGGCCGAGGCGGGCGGATCATCTGAGGTCAGGAGTTTGAAACCAGCCTGACCAACACGGTGAAACGCCGTCTCTGGTAAAAATACAAAAAATTAGCCGGGCGTTGGCGCGTGCCTGTAGTCCCAGCTCCTCGGGGGCTGAGGCAGGAGAATCGCCTGAACCCGGGAGGCGGAGGCTGCGGTGAGCTGAGACCGCACCACTGCAGTCCGGCCTGGGCAACAAGAGTGAAACTCCGACTCAAAAAAAAA